AAAAAGTTACAGTATTTAAATTATTAAAAAAGTTACAGTATTTAAATGTAACTTGTAGAGAAGAGAAGAGCAGCAGGACATCACAGGATGTCATGCAGCTGCAGCTCTGCAGCACGGAGCACAAATGTTCTTCTGGATCAGTGACACTGAAACAACTGAACAAAGAAGTTCTAAAAATAATAAAAAATAACTAAAACACTTTTATATTTTGTGATTATGATGATTTTACAATGTGACATATTTTGAATTTTAAGTTGGAAGACAAAAGTCAATCGGTGCATCTGGACAGTAAAGGGTTAACATTCATAAAGCTGCAGCAGGAGAAATGTGGGCGTGGCAGAGATCAGCTGATCAGCTGCAGGAGGGAGCTTCCCCTGCACTTGTGTGCTGCACACATGGTGTAAAATCATTTAAAATAATTTATTTTAAATAAACAACCCATGGCTCATCCATCAATCAGACAATTGTGTCACGTCCACTCTTATTTTGAAAAACTGCGATATAGTGAATCAGCGAAAAACAAACCTCGAAGTAGTGAGGAACGACTATTAGCATATCTCCCCATCTATATTTTACATAGACGCTGTTTGAGTCAAAGGAGGCACGGTGTCTGAGTTGGTAGAGCTGTTGCCTCTCAGGTTGCCCAATCAAATCCCAGAACATGATCACCCAGCTCACTCCACCGTTTGCATGTTCTCTCCGTGCTGCGTGGGTTTTCTCCAGGTTCTCCAGTTTCCTCCCACAGACCAAAGTTAGACTGACTGGTAACTTGGTAACTCTAAAATTGTCCCTAGGTGACGGAGTGAATGGTTGTTTGTCTCTGTGTCCCCGCCTCTCACACAGTGACTGCTGGGTATGGGCACCAGTGACCCCCATCAGGACACAAACGAGATGGTCCCATATACCGAGATGAGCAGGATGTATACTACTTGTATAAATTAATTACCCTTTCATCATTTCATTAATCAAATGAGCCACTCGGAGGGTGCGACAAGGTCTTTTCAACCCTGTTTTACTTGCAAGCGGCGCAGAATTGAAAACAAGCGTACACAGTTGTTGGGTGGAAGCACCGGTCACAAGGTGTGCCCACAGACAGATGAAGCATCTATTGCTCATCAGACAGAGAGAGGTCAAGACGACCTCTGCTGTCCAGATTACAGATTTGAATGTGTTGGAAGTTCTCAGTTACGCAGGCTCCTCTCTGAGTAGACAAAAAAGACTTGTCAGTTTAACATTAGTAAGTGATAACATCCATGACCTTTACCTAAACTCCCCTGACAATACCAACAGTGGGTAGGCCCTTAACTGGTGCCATCAGTGTCGTGCGTAGCCGCGGAGAGTTGAGACGGTGGCAAAGCGCCAGATGTCAAAGGATGAATCAGTTCAATTCAGTTTAATTCTAAAGCTCCAAATCACAGCCAAGTTGTCTCAGGACACTTTACAGGAACATTCACATAGAAAAGACAGTAAAGTTCTCTATGTAAGGAATCCAGCAGACAAGTTGAAGCTTCACTTCATCGCAGTCTCCCATCCTGAGCAAGCACAGTGGCAACAGTGGAAAGAAAAACTCCCTTTAACAGGAAGAAACCTCCAGCAGAACCAGCTCAGGACAAGAGACCATCTGCTTTGACCGGCTGGTTGAGAGGACAGGAAGGAGAGACAGACACAGAATGGCAGGTCCAGATGTGTGTGTGTATTTTATTTGATTTTATTGTACGATTAAACATTCCCTGGGTCACCCTGACCCCAGAACATCATGGCTGTTCCACAGAGATGAACACATCAGGAGGGATAACATGTTAAGAAGTTTGACTCCTGACTGGTCCATTTGAGCTTTTCTATCTCTCCTTTTGTTTCCTTTTTCACCAGTTGTTCCACTCCCAGTATCTCTTCCAACCTCTTCTGCAGCTTCAGCCCCACCCCCTGCCTCCACCTCCACCACCATGGTTCCACAGGGCTCCATCCTCCAGCTCATCACCTCCAGCTCTAATGCCGTCTCTTCGTTGGCCACTGGGATCACCACTCAGAGTCAAACAGGCACTCTGTTGCTGAAAACCACCCCTGGTACCAACATGATGGCTCCAGGCCAGCCACTCGTCATTCAGCTGCCTCTGTCCATGAATGGCCAGACGGGGACACTCGTCAACTTCCCTGTCTCGTCTCTGTCTGCAGCCAGTACACTAACTAAGTCCAAAACCACTCCAACTACCACCACCTTTATAATCAAGTCTCCTCCTTCAACCAATGTAGCATCAGCCCCGATCTCAACCGTGGCCACGCTTCCAGCTATCCAGGCCCCAACCGGTCAGATGTCCACCACCCAGATCTCTCTGGCACGAGCTGTGTACCAAGGAGGTGCAGGGAGAATAACTACACCTAATGCAGGGGTATCTGTGGCCACAGTGAGAGCACCAGCTCAGTCCGTCTCTGTTGCTGGTGCTTTGTCTTCAGCATCTTCACCTGCAACCTCCGTGCCAGCAGCAACCGGCTGCACTGCTCCAGGAACCCCACAAGGAACGTCCCTGACGTCCAAGACAGGTGAGAAAGATGTAAGACCAGACTAACCAGTGAATGTGTCTTCTGATAATAAAATGTGATTAAAATGAGTTTGTATCTTATCAGACAATCAAGTCTCTGCAACAACCTCAGGAGTATCTTCTGGAGTCAGTGCTGGAATTGCTCCACCTAAATCAGCTGCCCCAGCACCAAGACCCAAAGGCTCCGTCATTGATCTTACTGAGGATGATGATGATGTGCAAGGTAGGACTTTGAGTCTTCTTCATCCCCTTGAATACAGAGTCTTTCTCAAGTCGACTTATCTCAGGAACGTGCATTTTCTCTGTGTTTTTGTTTTTCAGTGACGGGAGTGAAGAACGCCACAGTTCCGTCTGCTGCTGCTGCCCCCCGCTCCAACCCAGTCATCAGCGTTCCCAGCAGTAAGACCATAAACGAACATGACAAACCAGTGCTAGATACAAGAACAACAGATTGTCTGTTCCTGCTACACAACAACGTTTGTGCTCTGCAGGTGCTGGAGCCAGGTCGTCTCCAAAAACCAGTCAGAACTCCTCCAGCAATCCCCAGATAACGGTGCACCACCGCCCCCCTCTGGTGAGGAGTTACAAATGCTTTTACTTTTTAGACACCTTACAATTACTACACATCAGGTGTTTCACAATAAAAGCTTCTGGTGACAGGCCTTTGTAGTGAAACTTTCCACACCCTCTGTAAATTCTGAGAGAAGTAAAACTTTAAATAAAAAAGTGTGGATTGTTCTTCTTAGCATGCTGTCACATTTAAAAGAACGTGACAGACATTTTATCACCTGATAGCTCCATTAGACGTTCATTTTATCATACAGTTCAGATTATCATACAGTACAGACTATCATACAGTACAGACTATCATACAGTTCAGATTATCATACAGTTCAG